GGGGGGATGGTTTCTTCGTGAAATGAAGAACATGGCCATGCATACCCTTGATAGGTGGTCAAGGTTTTATAGATGTTTCATGATATTTTTATCAACCAATTCTAATTTGCACATCCAGCATCGTCAACTTTCTTAGCATGGCTTTACCAGGTATAATTGGCAATTCACTTGGTGAGTTTGACAGTACTATTCAATACTCAAGTTCCTTTCAGTGTGAAACTTTCCTATTAGTAGCTGGATTTCAGGCTTGCTTTTTTCAATGTGAAAGGAGTTTTTATGGAAGCAAGACACCAAATTTGACATGGTCATCTCTCTCTTTGTCATGCAGACTACGAGCGATGGTGCACCAAGCAACTCGGGGGAAGCAGCTGATTTCGGTGACGATTTGATCGATCTTGATGATCTATTGGACGACGACACTTTTATGTCTACGGCACCTTGAATTCTGTATTGATAATATACCATGTGTGAATTAGCATTTGTTACATGGCTATTAGAGTTGTAAATAGGCTGCACTAACTAGTTTGTAAATCTGAAACCAGACCCATTGTGCAGAGTGACAAAGGTATTTGAGATTTAAAGGTAGTGCAGATTGTCAAGTTCTATCTCCCCCCACTCTCTCTATTCTTCAAATCCGATATGTTTGAAGTTACCTTTTCGTTTTACATTGACAGTTGTCTTCTAGTGCTAGTACTATTTATGTTATTTTCTTTTAAATCTGGAACCATTTCTTGTATGCCTGATTGAAAAAGGAATTAAATGTTCATTATCTCCATAGCTTGATTTCTCAAACCTAGGATGCGAACCTTAGTGTTTAGAGGGTGAAAAGTCAGAAAAAGAATTCACCCATTTTTTTTTATTTTTTTTTGTTAAAATCTTTGGAAAGATTATTTTGGTTTAAAAGTGCTTCCAGAGGCACTCCCCCTCCCCCAAAAGAACGTTTAATGACACCCCAACAGATGATTAGATTATTCAGACAATAAAAATGTACGAATTCATTCCACGAAGATATTTTATGAAATATTAACGAAATGCCAAGGGCTATATAGCCCAAACATATCGAAACTCTGGTCGAAAGAGCAGGTTCCCCAGTGTTGTTTGTTTAAACGTTTCATATAACTTGTTAGTCCCTTTTCCTCCCAACTCTTTTCAGTTTTTATGTAAATGTTTTCCACAACGTTATAAATAAACCCAAATGATAATAATAATAATAATAATAATCTTTGTCCTAGGCCTCTATTATTTATCAGTTTGGTCCCTCAGCCCCTGCTGTTTAGAAAAGTCAAACTTTACCTAGTACAAAGCTTAGCTATTATGACTTCATTTTGGCACTCATCAGGGCCAAGTTACTTGGAACTGCACATCCTAAGAACTCAAAGGTACATCTAGTAGTATTGTCAGTTGGAAAAATATAGACAGACCATGCACAAGATGGGTGAATACTGCTTTTAGCCACAAAATTAAGCTAGTAAATAATTAAGAAGAGGGAAAAAAATAACTTTTCCATAACACGTACAGACTACAGAGATTTTTCGATTTTCAATTCATCAGGCTAATTGAAGCCAACAGACGTTTCATCTAATATAAACTTTCTCATTGCTGGGGATGTGAAGCAAGAAAGATAAAAAGCTTTGCACTGATTCCCCATGAAAAGCTCATAGAACTGGGAAACGTCCGCTACAACTCTTCCTATATATAAGTTGTATTATTAACTACTCTTGTTCAGACTACATAAAAGAGGGCCACAAAGTGGCTTTACGGTTAAATTGCATGCCACTTGTCTGTATCAACTCAGGAGTTATCACCAGGAATGACCTTGAGAAACCCCAATCTGTGTTTATTCCACTTTCAGAACTATCTTCATAAATTCGTAGACGAAATAACTTATTGCAGCTGATGGCAAAACCTGAAGGATTCAAATTTAAACAGGACATGTCAATGTCAATATAGAGTAACATATCTTATTAGTAAGTAAAATAATCAGAACAATGAGACTTGTGCAACAAAACTGTAAAGAAGCCAGACACAAAGTTGTATGCACAATGCTAGTGGACGTATAAAATCAAACAGATTGTAGGCACAATAGTATTTAATACAAAAGAAATACAACATGAACATTAGAATCTAAAGTTAATTATATAAAAAAACTCGACATTCTTTTGATAACCGAGAAATGGTGAGAGCTAATGACACACGGTTTGGAAGTCGGTGGATAATAGACCCGACCCTCTACCGTTCTCCACCAAAACAGTAGACTTTTGTCCGCAACAGGGTTAGAGCATGTGACATGCGCCTAACTCACACATCACACGCCGCGCTCTTACAGCTAATCTAAAGCCCTGTGGGCATGAAAGATCAATATTTAAAGTGATACAAGGTCCAATTTTCAATTCTCTATATCTAACTCCCTCCTGTAAGAGAAGCCCCGACAACCTGAACAACTGGACTTACCAGGCTCATGGATTATACCTTGAGGCATTGCAAGCACACTTAGTTATTGAAATCACAATGAAGTGAATTTACAAATTATTGAAATCACAATGAAGTGAATTTACACTAAACTGGTAGTAGCTTGACAAATCATCTACCTTTTTGACAAATCTATTTACCTAGTTAATGGTAAAATGCATTTGGATAAATTTTATCACAAAATGTGTATATTTCCACTTTCCACAAGAGAGAACTGGTATAGTTTATTAACTAATCTTCGAGGGCGCTTACAGAAAGACAGTCCTAGATATCTTTTCTGTATGATGGAGCTACAGTCAAGAAAATGCTTCGTTAACATACCTGTAATAAACTGGGAGTCAATCCAGCATAGAGCGCAGGAATACCACCTTGCTCAACTATCCNTCCAGCGTAGAGTGCAGGAATACCACCTTGCTCAACTATCCTCAGGCTAGTCGCCAATGCACTCATCTTAGTCGCCCGGACCTGCATCTGAAGCTGTCTCCTCACAACTTCAAAAGGATATGTTGCAGCTTCTGCACAAGCACCAGCAATAGCCCCATATACCAAAGTTCTAACTGTGCCCAACTCCAGTTGATCCAAGGCATTCAACTCTTCACCTTGTTGTTTCATATTTTCTAGTCTTTTCCTCCCTTCTGGTGAGTGCAAATAAGCTGATTTTAAAATATCATAAACTCCATAGAAAACTGCGCCTGAAGGTGCCATGCTTATAATCGAGGGTACTAGGCCCTTGTAAAGAGAGAAAAACCCCTCCGTGTGCATCATATATCGGCATGTACCGATTAAACCCCCCAAGGCTTCTCCCCCCGGTGCAACCATTACTGTCCTAATCTGAAAATTTGACATTTTCCACGAAAAAGATAAGAAAACATTTTATGATCATTAAAAATTGATAAAACTTGATAAAATTTGTGAATGTACAAAATGAAAAAAGAAAAACTGCAAGAATAAGTATGCAAAAAGAAAGTACATTATAGACATTGAGAAAGAGAAAGGTAGAAGAACATTTACAGCCAAGTGGCACGCTTATCCTATAAAGGGCAGAGCATCAAATGATTGGATTATGTGATTCCTTAAGAATGTTGTCTAGTAATTCAATTGATTGAATTTTTATTATACCAAGATAAACTGAACCGTATTTTGCACTTCTTATAGATTACTTATCAGAAAATGATTCAGACAATCATGCCTATTATTGAAATTTAGTAGAGCTTCAAATCACATTGTCTAGCTTCAGTACTTCCCATATCTCAATCTGAATCAATGATGTATCTGAAACTTTATTCAGCATCACAATCATATTCTAACTTCAAGTTCCCAGATGTCATCCAAGTCAATTGTGCAGAATAATTTCCTGGGCTTGGAAAAAACATTTAATTTAGTTTTTTCCCTTTTGTATAATAATATAGACATGACTCATCTAACAAAATGAGTGCGTTAAATTCAGAATGCAAAATGGTTGGGACAGCTCAGCTTGTAGAGCAGGGAATCCAATATTCCTTATCTCAGCAGCTGAAACTACAATCATATTAACAATAATAGAAGATCACTATTTTATCATAAGGCTTAACATATAAGGCTGCCAGAATTGATTTATTTAAAAAAATAAAATAAATAGAAAGGGCTGATCAAAGTTGCTGAAGACACCAATTAAGAGCAAGTTTTAAGATCAAGTTCCAAGTATACATCGTCAACAATTTTCAACTCAAAGAATAGGTGAACAATCCAAACCAACATGTGGTTCACCTCAACATGGTCAGACATGTTGATTTTCCATAAAAGAAGAATCATGGTCGCACATATAGCAAGCTATGTCTAGCAAAAATTTCCAGAGTTAAGATAAGTTGCATGACTATTAAGGGAAAGGAAGAGGTGGGGACAAACTTTGCATTATGTAAACAACAGATGTGCCGCTTAAAGAAATTAAGTGACAAGGTAAACATCCTGATAATGTAGCTTATCTTGAACTTGAAGTACTAATGCTAAATTAGCTAAAGAGGGTATCTACAGTGGAAAGCAGTAGAACGATCACCCAAAGTCAGGAATCTAAGCTATCAAAGATCTAGTTGCACCCTTGTATTAGAGCACAAGCTAACTACTGGATTACTATGCCCAGATTACTGCTTTGACCACTTCTTGAGCTAGTAGTTAGGATTTTGTTATTCCTTTATTTTCTCAAATAAATCCCCTTATTCAAGGAGTTTGTTTAGGAAGTAGTTTAGTTCTCCTCTTCTAGAGGAGTTACTTTAGGAAAGTGGTTATTTCATTCTTGTATTTAAACGCTGCATTGATTCAATAAACAGAATCAGCTTTTGTGTTTTCCCTTGTTCTTATACCTCGGACATACATATAACAGGGCCAAGAAAGTAAGTTTTCTCGTAGTACCAACTTGATAGCTTCCGCTTACACCCCCTCCACTCCCTTTACTAAGCATTGTCATATAAAGATATGTAACCAACTTAGCCTATAAATTGACATGCTTATTACAAGATCAAGAAGCAAAACAGAAAATCCTGAAGTATCACTCACAGTGTCCATAGGTATGCACAGCACAGTGGCTGTAATTCCTGCTGCGGCACCAGCAATAAACCTTTCAATATTAGTTGTCTCCTCGTTACCAGTTATTTTGAGCAGACGATCCCTGTATTTTTCATAAGAGTAGAAGTTGATAGCCTTAAATGGAGCTGTTCGTAGAATATTCACAAAATTCCCCTTCCAAAACCCCTTGATCCCTTGAGTAACTGCAATTGTCTTGATGAGCTCAAATAGATTCTTCTGTTCACCACGAACTATATATTCCAGCTTCAGTCTTTCCAGTGGAGCAACAAAAGTTCTGAAACAAAGCAGTTCAGGAAACTATTACATAGACAAAGTTCATAGAATCCACGAAGAATAAACAAATTTCAGATTACACATACGGTATATAAGGAACATGTTCCATTTCAATGCAACAAGAGTATAAAGCTCCAACATAAGTAATACTAGGGTTTATATTGTACTAGACAATGCAACAAACTACAAACAGCATCTTAAATATGTTAATTGATATTCTCATCCCCAAATACATCAAATTCTTCCCGGATCAGGCATGGATTTATAAAGATTCATTTCCAAAACTAGGGGAAGCAGAACTACACCTAGCTAGAATGGTAAGACTCAGACCTTAATTTCAACTTCTATGTTTAAATTCTACCAGAAATAGGTGGTGGTCTTTTTATCTCTAATAGACTAAAAGCAGAAAATACTTCAAATTTAAACCTTCCAATCTGGGATACTTGGTGGTTTTAGCAGGTTAAGATTTCTTACTTTCTGTATGAATTACTGAAATACACAAAATGATTTCCTCAAAGTCAAGGAAAACGAGAAAAAAGAAGAAGACTTTTAAGTAAAAAGGAGAATAAATTTCCTTTTCTTGATGTGAAATAGACATGGAAACTGGATCAGCCACCCCTTATTAACCATGACAAAGGGTCCCACATATTCATGTATAAAGAAGGGTTAGCAAAGCTTCAACCGCGCACACTCCTTAGTTAACTAGTACTAGTTAATGCTCATATACCAGGTATTGCCTCCCATCACCCACTGAATGACTCAACAGAGAAAAGATTCAACTGGCGCTTTCATACATATGCAATTAAACATTCATCAATTATGTTGGACAACTTCAAAATTCTAGAATCTAATATTTTCTATACTTTTTCAATGTAAATCAAGTGCCTCGATATCCCAACAACACTAAGAATATAGAGCAAACTAAAGAATGTGCATTTCCCAATTTATAAAGCAAATATGCATCCTTCCAACTTAAATGACATAAATTCGCAATCAATGAGTCAAAGCATGTTGAAACCTATTGGTCCTAAGCAATGTGGATATGAATATACAGTTCATCTGTATAGAGGAAAATGAATAGAGAGGATTTAAAAAGCCGACCACCAACTAATTTGGGTTTGAGACCAAGTTGATTGATTGGTTGACACTAACTTTCTTTGTAACTTAAACTTCTACCACACCTTACCACAAAAAGCAATTCAAATTGTTTCATTAGCAATAATACTAACATTATTTTTTTTCATAATTGAGAAATCCACTTTTCCCAATTTCATAGAATACCCTTCTACCCTTCTCCACTTCAATACCAATCTTAGCTCACCAGCCAGGATTCCAACTCGTTCGGGGCACAAGGGCGGATCTATAGTATTGGTATGGGTTCAGGTGAACTCTTTTTCTTTTACTAAAACCATGTACTTGTATTAATAAATCCACTAAATGTGTAAGAATATTTAGCTCATAACCCACTATGTTTCTCCAGTTATTATTGTGAATTAACTTGACATCATTGCAGTAACTCATAAACTTCAAATCCTGCATCCACCTCTAGACGGCATACAACACGTCACACATACTATCTTTGCCACATACCAAAGCCTCAATATAACAACAACACTAACTTATTTTAAGGAATGCATAAGAATGAAAAGCAATTCAAATTAATAACATAGCATTCCTCATTACCTAGAGACCATGGCAGCAACAGCTCCAGACCAAAGATGCTTAGTAGTGTTCAATGCACCTCCGCCGTGCACCTTCCCCTTCTCCTCCGCCTTTTCAACTTCCCGATACACTCCAACTTCACTCTCCACCCCATTCTGCCCTAAAATCTCATTAGAATCAGAAAGCGTAATCGACAAAAACCTTCCACCACCTCTCCTAACATTGATTCCGATCCCTCTCCTCCGTGCACGTAACACACGCTCCGAAGAAGAAGAATAACTTTCCGTAGAAATCAACGAAACAAATGATGACGTGGCGGAATCTTCTAGAAGCAACCCAACATCGTTGTTACTACCATCGAAACTAATCGAATTCAAACACAAATCACTACTTCTCAAACTCAAACACCGAACCCCGTTTGATTTCGACTCCGATTGAATCAAATCCTTGAAACAAATCTCCAAATTACCCATTTTTGAAAAATTCCTCAGAAAAATATAAATAATTTTTTTTTTGATTAATTTTTTTGGGGGAGTTGTATGGAGCAAAATGCTATTTATTGGACATGAGGTTTATTAAAAGAGAATAGATAATGGAATAAATCACTACTGCATTGCTTCCATCGCCCCGCGCATTTTTATTTGCTTTCTCTATTCTCTGTGCTATGGGGTTTTCGAGTCCTTTTTTTGTGGGTTCCTTGTAAGAAAAAAAAATTGGTTAAGACAAGGAAAGAATTGCATACGGCAAACGTTAGTTTCAATTGTTTGACGAATTGACTGAATGAATGTGTACTTTACTTTCTACTTTCTTATATACGTACTAGGTTTTTGGTTGTTTGATGTAACTTCCTATTGTATTTGTTGGCTGGTAGA